TCCTCTTCTGTGAAGGCGACCTGAACACAATCATCGGCTCCATCGTGATGGTCGTAGGGAAGAGAGATGTGCGAGAGTTTGAATTTGAGAATCTCGATCTAATCATCATCATCTCCATCATCACTACTGGCACCATCATCATCATGACTAGCACCACCACTACCACCATCACCACCACCACCATCATCATCATCATCATCTCCGTCATCATCATCTCCATCATCATCATCATCATCATCATCATCATCATCATCGTCATCATCATCGTCATCATCATCATCATCATCTACGGCATCAGCACCTCCACATCTAGGCCGAATTCCAGCATTTTCCACAAGCACGTCCTCATCGCGGCGACATCTTGACATTCCTGTCGCCATCCCTTCCATTCGCTCCCTTGGTTGTGATGGAAAACAAACATGAAGGAGGAGCAGACAAGGAGGAAGCAGAGAGGTAGCGACCAGCCCAGGACCTCCATGAAGGATTTCGTGCAGCTCCGCAGGCTCCACTCCCTCCCTTCCAGCTCATGTAATGACTTGAGGAACTGCAAATAGTCGTCATTTTCATCGTCTGCCATCTCAATCTTGTTCATCATCTCCATCATGATTATCTCGTTATGATCATCTTGTTACTATCATTCATCATCATCAACGGAATAAACATCTGAATCTCAATCATAAATCTCCACCACCATCATCATCATCTTCTTCTTCTTGATCACCATCGTCGTCGTCGTCATCATCATCATCATCGTCGTCATCATTATCATCGTCTCCTTCATCAATATCTCCATCATCATCATCATCATCATCATCATCATCATCATCATCTCCGTCATCATCTCCATCATCATCATCATCAACTCCACCACCATCTCCATCATCATCTCCACCACCATCTCCATCATCATCGTCGCTTCAACTTCACCTGTTCTGAATGCAACACCGACGTCGTGTTCTGAAGTCCCTTGGAGGGAGTGCGAGAGGGTCGTTTATCTCGTCGGGTTCTCTTCTTCCACCGCCAGGAGAAAGAGGCATCGTCGAGGAGGGACAGGCAGACGGTGGCAGTGAGCAGGTTGAAGAAGGTGTAGTTGCCTGTCAGCATGATGCAGACCATGAGGAAAATGTTCAACCATGCCGCCCACACCCGAGCCTGTCGGAAGGGGAGAAGAATGAGAAACGCGGCAGGGATCTCGATGATGAAGGTCCCCACGACCGAGAGCTTCTGGATGAAGTTGGGGAGCTGGTGAGCAAACCACGACAGCGGTGTCGGGATGCACTGACTCGCATAGTGATAGTGCAGTGCCGTCAGCCCCATCCACGTGGGGCAACGAGCCTGGACCTTCACCACCCCGCTCATGAGCATGATCTTGAACAGGCAGAAGTGCAAGCAGAGGGCTGAGAGCTGAGTTGGACCTCTCCTGCTCCCGTAGGAGGTCAGCGGGGCAAACAGGAGCACCAGCCCGCCAACTTCCAGCAGAAAAATGTCCCACTGAAAGGACAGGAAGGTCTGGCCCACGAGGAAGATGGACTGATACAGCACCCAGCATACAAGGAAAAGGGAGAGGAGCACATTCCACACATGGTCATGGAAGAAACTAACATCCCTATTACACACATCAGGTCCAACCATTCTTCGACTCCTGCCCAACAGGTTGTTATCAACCTCCTCCTGTCAGAAACCAAGGATTACCAAGGCTTTCTGGCCTCAGCCTCCACAAGAACCCCTGCTGAGAGCTCTTGATCCCCTCCTCGATCCGCCAGATCGGCTGCAGACCATCAGGACCTGAGAAGTTGAGTCGTAAGAGCCAGGATTGGAACTTCTGCCTTCTCACCGTAAAGTCCTGGAGCTTGCAGGAAGACGGAAGTGAAGGCGACGAGGTACGAGAAGCCGACGAGTCTGAGCAGCAAGCTCGCAGCATGGCTTCTACAGTCTTTCCTGCCTTGGATCGCCACCCTCTCATCTTCTGCACCCTCTTTCTCTCCACCTCGTTGCCCTCCCCCTCCATTTTCTTGCATGTTTGCCTCCTCTTGTATCTGGAGCGGGCCAGGCGTGTTGTCACTTTTAAAAATTGAGTCACGGCTACAAAACTCGTACCACGCGTCCGATCATGGGAGTCACCCCGGGCCGGGCCCGGTGAATGGAGCAGTGAGTGACTCTGAACTTAGTGGCACTAGTACTGAGTGCTGAGTGCTGCCGCGGCCAGTACTATGACGGTACTGACCTGCGGCGCGGGTCAGATCACCGAGCAACTTCAAGTTGATAGTTAAACGTGTCGGAACGCGAGCCTCGCGGCAGCCCTGCGGCAAAACTTGCAGCACTGCGGCAGACGGGCCCGCCTGGGCCAGTGACACGAAGACTTTTACTCAAAGTTAAGTTAAAATCAGTACGAAGACTGCGACGGTACTAGGCTGACTGACGCCGTTACTAGTTACCTTGGACTGAGACGGCGGAAGTTGACCGCGGCGCGAAACTTTGAAACTTTGAAACCTTGGAACTTTGAAACGTTGAAACTTTTCAAGTTGGTGGCATGCTGGCGGGGCGCAACGTACGTACGAAGGGGGCCAGAGACATGTGAGGGCAGAGAAGAAGAGGAAGAGGAAGAGGAAGAGGAAGAGGAAGAGGAAGAGGAGGAGGAAGAGGAGGAGGAAGAGGAGGAGGAAGAGGAAGAGGAAGAGGAAGAGGAAGAGGAAGAGGAAGAGGAGGAGGACGAGGAAGAGGAGGAGGACGAGGAGGAGGAAGAGGAAGAGGAAAAGGAGGAGGACGAGGAGGAGGAAGAGGAAGAGGAAAAGGAAGAGGAGGAGGAGGAGGAGGAGGAGGAGGAGGAGGAGGAGAGACTATGACTAGAACAAGCGAGCGAGAGATTCTGCTGTGATGGATTACCAGGTTCGACATGATCAGAAACACGCCTGTAACATGTACCAGAGGCTTCGACACCTTGCCGACATCCCCAACTTCAAGGAAGACAGCTACACCTCCACATAGAGGGCCTTCCATCCCTTGTGGCTGAACAAGTGCTTCAGCGTGTACACAAGTAGAGATGTTCGGACACACGGGTCCTTTGGTGGTTTTCATAGTGCTATTTGCCGTTAGCGTGGGAGATGTTGGAGGATACAGCCTCCAATCAGCAGCTGTCGGTATGCAGAAGGAGATAGGAGGGGAGAACAAAGGGTTTCAGATGATGCAGAAGATGGGGTGGAGCTCCGGAGCATTGGGGAGGAACAACGAAGGGATCGTGAAGCCGATCGACCCTCTGGAGATGTCGGTGCTCTCTCCTCGGAGGTCTGGTCTTGGTAGCTACAGCGCAAAGAAACATCATTCACCGCGCAAGGGATCCAAGCGAGAAGCCGATGACAAGGTTCAGAAGATCTTCAAGAGGCATGGGATTAAGGATTCAACGAGTGAGTGGAGGTCGAAGAAGGGGAAGGAGAGGAAGAAGTCAGAGACGCGCTCGCTGCTGGCAACGACTCTCCGTCACCTAAACTTGCTCCCTGATGCAGTACTGGAGAGTCTGATCGATGAACTCGAGGTCGTTCTTTTCTTGTCGTGTTGTTTGCACTGACGGTTGAGCTGTGTTGTTTGCAGAGGCGGGTAAATAACCTGAAGCTTCCTTACTTCATGCTTGAGCTGCTGTGGAATTTCTTCTTGAATGAGAAACAGGGCCACGTTGTGCTGCCAGCCACGTTGACTTCTTTCCAGCGCAAGCAGGTCAGCAGAACACCGCTGTTGAAGAATTCATGTGGATGACAAATCTTTTGAATCGCAACTCTGTCATATGGTAATCGCCTTGTTTCTTCCTCCTTTCAGGTCCACATTCTTGCATACGATTGCGGTTTACTCCATAGAAGCAAAGGGACAGGAAAGAGCAGAAGAATGATCTTGAGAAAAGTGATCATCAATACTGTCCTTCGATCAGCCCTGACCATACCCTTTTCGCAGTCGCATACGGCACATAAATCTGTAAGTTCGTCTAGCAGCAAGTCGGAAGCAGAATATGAAGAATCTCTGTCGGTGCGTTGAGAGGGAGAGGAAGCCTTCATTTACAACCTCACATGCTCTCAGACTGCTGACCTGTCTAACTCGCATGGGGTCAGTCTGTTTTCTTGTTTGTCTTGCCGTCGTTTCTTCACACTCCAAACAACAGGATAGTGTGCTCGGGCTCCGAAATTTCCTGGATGAAGACGGTAAAGATTCCAAAACATCTTACAACCTTTGATGTTCTTACCTGCCTCTGTCATTCTCTTGGCAGAAAACTTGAGAGAGCCAATAGAAGACTCAAGAAGTTTGGAGGAGGAGGAGGAGGAGGAGGAGGAGGAGGAGGAAGAGGAGGAGAGGTCAGGAGTTGAATGAGCAAGAGCCATGAGCTTACTTGTAGCAACAGGAGAGTGAAAAAGGAACACAAGGAAAAGAAGGAACACGAAAAGTTCAACCATCTGCGTCCTGATGGTGAGGATTGAATAAAAAGGAGGAGGACATCGGAGTTACGGCGAGGACGAGGAGGTTTGGGGGTAGATACGTGATGGGCAGGGGTTGAACTAGAGAAGCAAGAAGAGGAGACAGGGAGGGAGGGAGGGAGGGAGGGAGGGAGGGAGGGAGGGAGGGAGGGAGGAGGAGGAGGAGGAGGAGGAGGAGGAGGCGAATTTACAGAGTCTTTCAGCAGCGAGGATGCAGGACCCGAGGCTTCAGACTCCGCGTGCAAAGTTGTTCAATTCAGATACACTTGAGGCGATCGGCGAAGACAACCGTGGGTTTGCAATGCTCAGGAGGATGGGCTGGGATGGACAAACAGGTATAGGTGCACAGGTATTGTCTTCCCTTTCCCTGGTCCAGCTGCTGCTGCTGCTGTTCCTCCTCCTCCCCCTCCTCCGGCTCCTCCTCTTCCTCCCTGCCCCCACTGTCGAAATTGGTCGCCTGTGCTGCAGCTAGCCCTCACATGGCGGCAGGAACAAGGGCGATCGACTCCCATCTCGCTGCAGGCGAAACTTCCCCTGCTGCTCTTCCAGTCGTTGACGCTGCAGCGCCAGGGGAGAGCCGGAAGACTTGGACTGGGAGCAGAGAGCGCGAAGGAGCCTCCCAGACAGGAGCGAGCAGTGCGAGAGGAAAACGGAAGGAAGGAGAAGGTGAGGAGGGAGAGGTGGAGGAGGGAGAAAGTAGGGAAGTTGAAGGGAAAAGGATCAGTGGAGGGGGATGGCAGCGTTAAGGCAAGTGAAGGAAGCGTTCATTGTGAGGAGAGGACAAGGGAGGCGAGGGAAACGAGCAGGGATGGCGAGGGTAGCAGTTGACTGCATGCTCACTGTTGTTGTTCTAGGTGAAAACCAAGAAGTCAAGGGATACTTATGATCTAGATTCTGACGAGACCAGCTCCTCCTCCTCCCCTTCCTCCTCCTCCTCCTCCTACCCTGACAACTGGAAGTCGGTCCTCTCAAGAAGCCCAAAGGAGACAAAGCACCAGCAGGAGGCATTGAGGAAGAAGCAGCAGGAAACGCAAACCAAGGGGAAGAAGAACAAGATGAATCAACCCATCGAGTTTGTGGGGGAGGTCAAATCATTAGCTCCTCCCTCAATCCCTACCCGCTCACCTTCCCCCTTCCTCCTCCCCCTCCACCTCCAAATGTTCCTCTTGTTTGCCCACTGTCCTTTCCTCCACCCCTTCTTCTCTCTCTCTCTATTCCCTCTCTCTCCATTCCTCACCCCCTCCTCACGCCTTCCTTCAGCTGATAGCGGCTTACGGCGATCGACTCCCTCTTGCTACCCTCGGAACGATTTTGAACCAGGAGAGGCCGGACATGAAGCTCAAGATCGGCCCCCTCCGTCGCTTCCTTGCCCTCAACAGCCTCCACTTCGAGTACTCGCCATGCTCCTCTCCCTCCTCCTCCCTTG